AAAAAAAAAAAAAAAAAAGATAGATGGTCCTCAGTTCCACAGCATAGGACATTATGTGAGCAGAGCTGTGTACAGTACTGCCTAGGGAGTTTTGACATCACAGTGGAGATACACTGCCATTCTCTGCGGTCCCTGGTGAAGGCTGGGCCTTCCTGCTATAGAGTTGCCTTTTCCCCCCCATTTTATAGAGGGAGGGTCTTGCTCTTTCACCTGGGCTACAGTGCAGCAGCCTGATCATAGCTCACTGCAGCCTTAAATTCTTGGGCTAAAGCGATCCTTTTGCGTCAGCCTCCTAAGGAGTTGGGACTACAGGCACCCACCAGAGCCCCCAGCTAATTTTTAACATGTTTCATTACCTACAAACTCTATCCTATGAATAGGACCCAGATCATTTAAAAGACCAGCAGAGTATTTCCTCAGGCAGAGGTGATTGGGGGCATTTTTCTGACTAGCTCTTCTCCCCTGGCTTTTTGTTTTACTTCTCGGGTCTCTATGCTTCTTTAATTTGGAGCAGGAATCCATGTTTCCCAGTCATGCAGCTGCAGCTGTACATTCCACAACTATGTGTCTCTAATGACTGTGTTTCATTCATGCCTGTCTTGTCTGCCCTGTTTATTGGCGTGTGAGTTTGCTAGGGGTGCCATAATCAAATATCACAGACTGGGCAGCTTGAGCAACATACATTATTGTCTCCCATTTCTAGAAGCTAAAAGTCCAACATGGACTGAGAGCTTCCGGCAATTGGCCGGCAGTCATTGGCTTTCCCAGTCTCTGCCTTCATCTTCATAGAGTACTTTGACGTAGGTGTGTCCCAATTCCCACATTTTATGAGGACATCAGTCATAGTGGAGTAAGAACCCACCGTATTCCCATGTGACTTCTGGGTAAATTACATGTGCCATGGCCTTAGTTTCCAAATAAGGTCACATTTACCAGTCAGCTCATTGCACTTGTACTGAATGCTCTGTGATTGCGGCTTAGGCTGGGCCCCAGAGTCACCTTCAGGCCCCCAGGAGACTGGCACATTTATGTGCTTTGTGTGTTATCTCCTTGGTCCTGTAGATGTTGGCAGGTGGCCAAAGTCTCCATCCTTGTTCGAACCACTTGTCTATCTATCATATGTCATTTATTCAGTGGTTTGCCTTTCACAACTTTGGCCATGGTCGGCCCACAATTCAAGGTCCCTGATTCAGGTGCAACATTAACATTGGCCTTTGTGTCTCTTCCTCCCAGAAGGAAAGCATGTGCGCACACTCTCCACTTCATGTGTGCAAAAAGCTTCTGTGGGTCTAGGCAGCTTGCACCTGCTCCTGTAAGGTATGGAGGGACAGTCTCTTTCTTTATCAGTGTACTGTCATTCCCTATGTCTGTCCATCAGAGCTAAAGCGTTCTCTGCTAAGAACTGTAGACCAGAAGCTGTAGGCCCAGCTGGGAGCAGTTGCTTTGCAGCAACTACTCACTGGGAAAAATGCCCCAGAATACTTAAGTAGATCACGAATTTGGGAATGATTAAGGCTGACACTTTAGGCCAGGAGTTCAAGACCACCCTAGGTAACATAGCAAGACCCTATCTCTCTTAAAAAAATAAAATAAAAATTTTGCCTAGGCATGGGGCAGGCACCTGTGGTCCCAGGTACTCAGGAGGCTGAGGCAGTAGGATTTTTTGAACTTAGGAGTGAGAGGCTATTGTGCCACTGCATTCTAGCCGGGTTCACAAAGGGAGACCCTGTGTCTTAAAAAAAAAAAATAGAAAGAAAAAAGTAAGCCATGGTTTAAATTGAAACTTTACTTCAGACTATGTCGAATCTTCAGCTTTGGTCTTCTTCTTCCTCATAGGATGGTCCAGCAGTTTGGGGTGGACTTTGAGAAGAGGATTGAGGGGTCAGGAGACCAAGTGGACACACTGGAGCTTTCTGGGGGCGCCCGCATCAATCGCATCTTCCATGAGCGCTTTCCCTTTGAGCTGGTGAAGGTATAATTCCTAGGGCTGCACCCTCCCTCTGTAGTCAGGCACCCTTCTGCTGATCTCCAGCTGAGCCTCCTCCCAGCCACAATGTCTTGAGCTCCTGTCTCTAGGCCCAAGCCTGCTGTGGGCAGATTAAGTGCTACAGAAGCTTTCCCTTTGGGCTTTTTACCCAGGGCAGGCAGATGAGATGTTCTGGGCAGAACAGTATGTCAGTTCCTGCTTTCTCCTCTGACAAAAACCAATATACAATCTTTACAGAATACATAGAAAATATAGGTAAATTCACATGGGAAAATCTCCTTAGCATGTTGTTGAAGGAGTAAAATGTAGCAGAATATGGGGCCAGTGCATGCAACATAGCCTAAAGCTGGTTTTTGTGTGTGAAATTGTACACATGTATCTAGACTTTTTTTTGTTTGTTTGAGACAAAGTCTTACTTTGTCACCCTTGGTAGAGAGCCATGGCATCATATCTCACAGTAACCTCAAACTCATGGGCTTAAGCATTTCTCTTGCCTCAGCCTCCCAAATAGCTGGGAATATAGGCGCCTGCCACAACACCCAGCTATTTTTAGAGATGAGGTCTCACTCTGGCTCAGGCTGGTCTTGAACCTGTAAGCTCAGGCAGTCCACCTGCCTCGACCTTCCAAGTGCTGGGATTACTGGCATGAGCCACTGTGCTGAGCTATTTTTAGAAATGGGGTCTCACTCTGGCTCAGGCTGGTCTTAAACTTGTAAGCTGAGCTCAGGCAATCCACCAACCTCGGTCTCCCAGAGTGCTAGGATTACAGGTGTGAGCCACTACACCTGGCCCAGGCTCTCACTCTTGACTAGGCTGGAGTGCTGTTTTTCCAACAATCATAACTCACTGCAGCCTCAAACTCCCAGTCTCTGGAGATCCTCTCACCTTAGCCTCTGAGGGCTGTAGGATTACAGGTATGAGCCACCACACCTGACCCTGTATTCACAATTTTTTTTTTGCAGTTTTTGGCCAGGGCTGGGTTTGAACCCGCCACCTCCAGCATATGGGGCCAGCGCCCTATTCCTTTGAGCTACAGGCGCCACCTTTTTTTTTTTTTAACATTTATATGTAGTTCTGGTCTTATAGCTAGATCATTGTCCCCAAGATAAATTTCTAGAGCATTTGAACTACTATATGACAGTATAGCTGTGGTTTTTGATGTCCTTGATATATGCTTCCAAGTAGCCCATAAGAAAGTTTATGTGAATTCATGTTCCCACCAACACAGTGAGCTTGTTGGTTTTATAGAGTCCTGGCTGATACTGGGTTTTATTAAACATATATATTTTTAATTTTGGTGAAATTTTGTATTTCAGATATTTTATTTGAAATACAAAATTTCATTATGAAATATTTATAAATTTTATATTTATATTTTTAAATATTGTGTCTTATGGGTATGATTGCTCATAGGAGGTAACATTTTCCACATACACACTCTGATGGGGGCACCAGGTACCTCCTTGCACGGATTTTGTTTGTCTCTTTACAGATGGAATTCGATGAGAAGGACTTGAGGCGGGAGATTAGCTATGCAATTAAAAATATCCACGGAGTCAGGCAAGTTCCACGGGGAGAGGTGCCACGTTGCCTTCCCCTTTATGGTACCATCCCCAGCCAGTTGGTCCTCCAAACCTCTGTTTGCCCTAAGCTGAGGCCTTTAGAGGGATCTTGGGTGGTTTTCATTACCTGTAAGCCCTTCCCTATGAGTCTCCGAGGGCACTTGAGGGCAGATGTGTTTTAGTCCTGTGTGAGTCTGTCACCAGTCACCCAACTGTCCATGACTCCTGGTTAAACATGGCTTGGTTCCTACTGAGCTTTGGTTCCATGGTGAACTATGAAAGCTCACTGTAGGCTCAGTGCCTGTGGCTCAAGCAGCTAAGGTGCCAGCCACATACACCTAAGGTGGCGGGTTCGAATCCCCAGCCCGGGCCCGCCAAACAACAATGATGGC